GAATTCTTCCTGCCTGGAGCAGCCAAATACCATCCAGGACTTTGGTCAGTAAATGTCCAGAGTAGGTCAGAAACTACTACCAAATTGAGGATAACTTACATGCCCACCTCAGAGCAAGGAAGAGCGAGGGGTGGAATGAATAAAAGCAAAGGATGGAGGCTATCAAGTGTACTTTATTGAATCCATGTGGATAGATAGATGAGTGTTACACCTGCGTGTGGGGAGGGCCAAGGGGCAAGAAGGGATGCTGCTGAGGATGGTGAGCTCTCAGGACCAGAAGCCAGAATTCTCTATGAAGTCTAATAACGACCAGAGTTAAGGACAATGACGACGACAGCAACGATAGTGATAACAACCATGAGGATGCTGAGGACCAGGGAGCTGATGTTCAGGCACTTGGCGGTGGAGGCGTAGGCCTGGGCCCCGGTCACGTCGCCCACCATCTTCCGGTCCCTGGACTGAAGGAAATCAGATAGATGATCAGTGGCCCTGGAGCTGACAGGTAGATGGTTTGACAGTTTCCCTGACATTCTCCCTGTGGACTGCATCTCCCCGACTTAGGTCAGGAACATTTTACACATTCTGATCATTCAGGAGACCTTAGCACTTGTTGTTCACCCCACTATGGATTATTGTTCCCCACGAATCTCCTGAACACTTTCCACACAGGCTAGCATCCTAGTCTGTAAGGTGAGGGGGCACTATAGGCATTCCTCTAGACTGCATTGAAAGAGTCTGACTCCAGAATCCCCAGGCAGCCTCACCTTGTGTCTGCCCCAGAGAGTCTTTAAGCCAACACACACACACACACACACACACACACCACCACCACCACAAAAGAAAGAATGCACACAAACTTCTTTTAAACAAAGCCCCCCCCCCCAGTGCCATCCGAGTAGATGGAGAACTTCAGGCTCACACACACCTTCTTACACCATCACTCCCCCCTCTTGCACACTCACCTTCACAGAGTAGGCATAGGCAATGAAGCCCAGGCAGCAGAAGTTCATGAAGAGTGTATTGAACAGGGACCAGACCACATGGTCAGGCACAGAGACCTCTCTGGGCATGTTGATCACAGTAGTTCTGACAGAAGCCGATCCGTGGGGTGCCCCCATCTCAGACACCTCATATTCTTCCTTGATCCTTTCGTAGTTTGGGGGTTGTCCCCCACTGGCAGCGGTAATGAAGGCTTGAGAAGTGTGGTTCATGGTGCTGAGAAGAAGCAGCAGTGAAGGGCAAATGATGGAGAGCCTGTGGGTCTGCCCTTTCCCCAGCAGTTTCGGTTTCTCAGAAGTTTCCTTTTCCTGAATTTTGGCTTAATGAAACTGGTCTGGGTTCTGAGAGGCGGGGATCTAAAAAAGCCTGCGGATCAAATTACTCCGGGGCAGGATGTCAGGAAGGATTGTGAATGGGAACTTCCCAGCCAGGAACTCCAGTCAGGACTTGTCCCAAGGCCCAAACCTCAGTGTTTATGAGGAGGGGGTCCTGGAGTCTACCAAGCTCAGGCTAACAGCTGCAGACCCTCACTGTCCCTTACCAAGGTCCCAGCCAGGCCCCAAAGATCACTCCATTCTCTCAGCAATAAAGAGTGCTCAGGCCGGGCAGTGGTGATGCACGCCTTTAATCCCAGCACTTGGGAGGCAGAGGCAGGCAGATTTCTGAGTTCGAGGCCAGCCTGGTCTACAGAGTGGGTTCCAGGACAGCCAGGACTATACAGAGAAACCCTGTCTTGAAAAACAAAACAAAACAAAAAAAAAAAAAAAAAGAAAGAAAGTAAGAAAGAAAAAGAGAGCCCAGAGAGCCCACTGTGAAGGCCAGTTCTACTGGCTTCGGTTCAGATAAACGGTGGGTGAACGGTACTTCTTGTTGTGTTTTATAAAAGATAAGGAGAGAGAAGGAACATCGTTGATGGATGTGCAATCACATGTTGGGGAGGGGGGTGCTTCTGAGTGTCCATGCTGAGGCATCCCTTCCCCTTGAGGGACCAGCCACACGACAATGGTATAGTAGAGAATAGAGTTTATTCAGGGCATGGGGAGGGGAGCTGAGAAGGTAGTAGAGACAGAAAGGCAGAGAGAGTAGAAGAGTAGAGGCCGACCATGAGAGAGAAGGGGAGGGGAATGGGAAGAGAGGGGAGGAGCAGAAGGGAGAGGACAGAGCTAGAGAAAGAAGTCAAGAAAGAGCAGAGGGGCAAGCAGCCCCTTTTATAGTGAGTCAGGCATACCTGGCTGTTGCCAGGTAACTGTGGGGCAGATCCTAGACAAAATGCTAACATTTTGTCTCTTTTTGAAGAGACCTAGTGCTCTAAGAGTGATCAATTACTGGACTTTGGTATTAGAACGAAATGGTCTTAGGTCACTTGGCTAAGGCCTCATGGTCCTGGGCTGGCATGTTTGTGCTACGCCAACTCTTTCCCTCCTGCTCTATCATAAGTTATTAGTGCTATTGAATGGTCACAGAGGACCTTCGTCATGCCAGAGGAGCTTTCTCAAACACATGGTGAGGTGAGGACTGTGCCCAGGAAAGCCGCTCCTGATCCTACTGACGGATTCAGTCTAGTGTCCTTCCCTGATAACAGGGAGGCCTGGTCTGGCTTCTCTTGTTAGGAGTTGAATCCACTTTCTATCTTGGTGGCACTGTAAGGACCAGGCTACTAGACCTCCTTCAAGGTACCCTGCAGCACCCACCCTTCCTAGAGCTCTGAGTCTTGGGGGCTGGAGCTTCTCCAGTTTCCAGGTTCTACTCATTTCATTATCTTTCTTGAGTTTTTCACAGGGACATCAGCGCCTCCTACAGACAGCCCTGTTTGCAATCCTATCAGCTAGTGCTGTTTTAGTCAACATCTCTGAAAAAGTCTGCCTGTGGGAAAGTAGATAGAGTGGTTCCCATGGATATACTTACCTGGCAGAGGCTCCTGCCAGGCCTCAGGCCTCAGGCCTCAGGCCTCAGGCCTCGGGGGTACCGTGTAACCGAGCAGAACTTTGTTCTGGCGAAGGGAACTCTGATTGGAGCCTGAAAGTGGTGGTTTCTGTTGGATTCTGATGTTATTTCTTTGTATTCTGTGGAATACCTTGCTAAGGCGTACTTCACACTGCTCTCCACACATCCTCCTCAGCAGAATGGGAGATAAAATGATATGGATAATCCTGGAGCTCGTAAATGATAGCAAGTGTTATACTGTGGTCACAACACACTCTGGTTTCAGCAATGTTGGATCTTGGCATAACTTTTTAAATAGTTAGCAATATTTAATTTCACCCATAGCTCTGTTTACTATGGTCTCATAATATTCCTAAAGGCAAATACATTTGTTCCAGGTCAGAGACCAGCTTCTCTGTTGTCCTCTCAGGAGGAGACATTGTTTGTTTACTCTCTAGCATTAGATAGGGAACAACCTAGAGTCTTCCCCTGCCTGGCTGACCACTTGACCTCACCCTGCAGGCCACCAACACAATGGGAAGTTATAACAGCTTCCGTTGTTCCTGCTCCAGTTACACATTTGGTGAGTGGGAGGCGAGCATAGGGAATCTTCATGGCTGAGCAGCCCCCTCTGGGCTCACTCAAGGATTGCTGTAAACACTAGGCAGATTGAGTTGCAGAGGTTCCACTGCAAACAAATGGTTAGGATGGTGTTTGTTCGGAGATCATGGCCTGGCTCCTGGGTCTACCAGTGCCTAACATGTCTGAGGTTTCCGTGCCCTCAGGATAGCTGCCCACACATTGCTCATACGAAACACTAGGAAGGACCGCAGTGTGGCCATAGGTTCTGTGACGTCCTCCTGAAGTCTCTGCCTTCGTTCAGTCATAGGCCTGGAGCTAAGGATGAGCACTCTCAAGTTCAGCCCAGGGCAGTGAGTTTTAGTAGAAATTCTACCATGAGTCCTTCTCAAAAACTCTTGTTCCTTCCTGGTGCAATCTAAAAAGGTCTTGATTTCTCCCTAGGACTTGGTCTGGCTGAGCCACTCACTCCCCTCTAGTAAGACAGCAGCTTTCCCAGTGGGATCCTGTCTCCACTGCTATTAGGGTCTCTGTCTTCTTAAGACAGGCTCAGCTTCCCAAGACAGTAAAAGGAACTAACACTGCTTCAGAAGCCTGGACTTGGGAAAGAGGGCATCTCTAACACTACTCAGCCTCACAAGATGAGTTTTTGGGCCTTACATTATCTCAGGCCCCAGGACTAGAACCCTTATACCAACACAGGGAGACAGGAGAACCCGGGGGCTCCAAAGACTTGTAATCTTAGAAGATCAAGCTTACTCCCAACGAAATATTGCTGAACAGGTCCACTTCCCCCATATCCTAATAACTTTTCTCTTTCACTACCTCTGCTGAGGTGGTGGGCTAGACTAGAGATGGAACCCTTATTAAAAGTAGGTTGCAAAAAATGTATGCCCCCAGGTGCATTTTGAGAACAGACTAATGGTGAAGAATGCCAAGGCCCCTTGAAATCTGACCCTCCCCATTTCAGGATCTGAGGACCCTCAGATCGATAATATGCTGGATCAGCCATGGCACCTAGCATTGAAGTGTCTGTGTTCACTTCCCAATGCCCACTCCTGACCTGAAATAAACCTGTGAGATGTGTGTGAGAAGGGAGGGGTCAGAATCCAAGCTGAAGGCCACCATAGAGATCTTGGACACAGCTTGTCTGGGTCAAGGTTTTTTCCTCCTAAAAATGAAGGACCCTGGGCTGGTCCTCTATCCCTGGACTTGAAACTCACTAGTGCATGGTTCTGCACTCTTCCTGTATACTCTAGGGACATGGAGCTGGAGGTAGGCAATGCTCAGTTTCTGCCTGCCTGTGCCTGTTTGTCGGCTGCTGTCTCCATCCTGAGGCCAGAAATCTGCTTAGCTGTGGATGCCCTGCACTATACTTCCCATCCACACCCCCCCATCCACCCCCCTACCCCCAGATCCTCTTCAACAGCAGGGAAGCCAGCGAAACTCTGAGTAAGCTCAGTACAAGACCAGTCAGGGGATAGGGAGTCACAGCACAATTGCTACCACATGCACTTTATTGAATCCACTGTGAACAGATGTGTGAGGGTAAAGTGACAGGTCAGGGGCTCTGGTCAGGATAAGGGGCAATTATGAAGGGCAAAGCACATGCATGCCTTCTTCACGAAGACAGTGCCTGGGAGAATTTAATCCATTGACTCTGATACCAAGAACACATACTTCATGGGGTCCCATTAATAGGTACTAAAGATACTAAATTAGGTACTAGTTTAGTTAATTAACTAACTACTTAGTATGTAAGGAGGCTATAGCTGGTATTATTCCCAGGCTGGATAAAGCAATAAAGATGATAAAGACGACAATGGAGATGCTCAGAGCAATGATGTTCAGCATCTTGGCAGTTGAAGCATAGGTTCGGGCCCCAGTCATGTCTCCCACCACCTTCCTGTCCCTGGACTGAAAGAGACAAAAACATCAGTGTGGCAAGTCATCAAGAGCTAGGTGCCCTGCCTCAGTTCCCCCTTTGTCCTTCCTGCCCAGTGCAATCTCCTCCCTCAGGTCAGGGACCCCTCTCCCTTTCACACATGCAGACCATCCAGCAGACCCAAGCACTGGCTGCTCACCTCACCACGGGGTGCCATGTCTTGTAAGTCTCACTCGCACCCAGCCTGGTGCCCCAGTCTGCAGGGTGAAGGGGCATTCCAGAAACTAAGCAGTAGAGAGAATTCCTCTAAACCAGAGTGGACACAATCTCACCCCAGCATCCCTGGGCAGTCTCTCCTTTTCCTTACATAGGAGAGTCTCCTACACACAACCCACATATACATTCTATATGCTATTTACACAGTCTATACATAGAAGCACATAAGTACATGCAGGACACCAAACACAGAGTGTCAGACATACACACAAACACAAGGCTGTACATGACCCAGATGTCCTCCAGGCAGGAGGAGCCACAATCACAAACATACCTTCTGCAACACTCACCTTCACAGAGTAGACATAGGCAATGAAACCCAGGCAGCAGCTGTTCATGAAAATTGTGCTAAACGTCGACCAGGTAATGTAATCTGGCTGAATAGTGTTGCTGTTGATGTAAACCACAGTGGATGGCACTGGAGCTGAGTCAGGATTCTCCTTAGTCATGTTTTTGTGCTTAAAAGAAGCTCTTGTTTCAAGGAAGTTCCTATGGGTGGTAAAGTCACAGACACTTAAATAGAACCATGGTGGAGTAAGATCCGGATGCTGGGGGTGGACTACATAGGATTGCTCCATCCCCCACACACTCCCCCATCCCCACCTCCACCCTGTCATCTCCCCAGTGGCCTCTTCAAAGTTCTACTTTCTCCTGAACTGTCTGGGAAGTGGGATGTGGAAACAGATTACTGTATGGCTGGCCTCGAACTCAGAAATCCACCTGCCTCTGCCCCCCAAGTGCTGGGATTAATAAAGGTGTGTGCCACCACTGCCCGGCTTATCCTTTTACTAAAAGACTTGGAGTTTGGGGAAAAGATAGATGGGTCTGGACCACACCTAGTGGGGCCACAGGAGTTGCAACACCTGGTTAGCCAAGACTTTTCTGACACTGTAATCTTTTCTTCTTGCCTCAGTACACCCTGAGGAAAGATGGCAAAACAGGATCGGAAAGAGATAAGCAAGTTATGAGTGTGCTCTTTAGCTTCCTCTAAATGACAGAAATTAAGATCCTGCAATAATCCCCACCCCCATGCCCTGGCCCTCTCCTCACACTGAAGATGCTAGGTTACCTGCTTCTGCTGTGTTCTCAGAAGCCCCAGGACCAGTAGTCCTCAGCATGTCAAGGCCACCAAGGATAGGATGTCTTGTCCTATCAGCCTGGACTTCTGGATTCCTTAAAGCAACTGTGCTGGATCTTCCCTAAGGGAGCTGAGCTGTGTGACCAGGGGCCTGTTGAATGTGGTGCATTATACCCATCGAGTGCATGGAGTATAAAGCACGGACTTATTTTCGAAGACTTGGTGTTCTGGGTCCAGCTCTGCCGCTAAGACAAATACCCCGACAATAAACAATTTAGAGAGAAAAGAGTTTATTTGCTTATAGCTCCAAGTTACTACACATAATTCCAGGAAAGTAAGGGCGGGAACTCAGGCAGTTAGTCATAGTGCATCTGCAGTCAAGGGCAGAGAAATGCATGCATCGTGGCTTGCACACTTACCTGCTTGCCCTCAGTTAGCTTTCCCCTCTCTTCTATTTTGCAGAACACCTTTGCCTAGGTAATGGACTAGATCTTCCTGTATGTATTAGCAAACTAGACACTCCCTCATAGATAGGCCTATAGGCCAACCTGATCCAGAAAACTCATCTTTAAGCCTCTGCCCAGATGATTGTAGACTGTGTCAAGCTGACACTCAGAACTCACCAATAAGCTGGGGGGGGGGGAGGGATAATTTTAAAATAAAGTGCAGCATGCATATTTCATCAACATTTTTTTAAAACATTTATTTTTATAATTTTGAGTGACATGTGTCTTTGGGAGTACTCATGAACATGAATACGGAGGCCTGAGAAGACTAGAAGACGAGGGTATCAGATACCCTGGACCTGGAGGCTTAGGTCATTGTGATTTGCCTAAGTTTTAGATGCTGAGAACCTAAAACTTTTTGCTTGGCCAAAATATTTGAATTGTGTGGTCATTTTTTTGAGACCACAGACCTACTTCTAACACTTTCTTCTTTTGACAGTGAGGCTTGGCATAAGTGGACATGCACATGGACTGTGGGGCTTCTGAGTGAGAGCTCTGGCTTCTCAGGAGTGCCCTGTTCAGGGCAGCACATGCTGCAGAATGGGCTTCTCAAAATGGCCACTGGCCAAGGGAATAGCACAGAGCCCTCTCTGCCACAGACCTACATGGAAAGGAGGCATTGTATCTTCAGCTTGGGCAGAAGGGAAGAAGTAGCAGCTTTACAGCCCCAGAGATACTTGGTAAGCAGAGTAAGAACCGAGCCAACATATAGCCAGACAGAAAGTGCAGGTCCACTTCTTGTAGCTCCATACTCTGGCAACACAGACTGGGGAAGGATCCAATTAGTGGGAAATCAGGAATGAAAGGAAACCAAGACAATGCCTTTCACCCTAGCCAGCGAGACGGAAAACTGCACACACCTAAACCCTAAAGTGGCCGGGACAGTATAACTGTGGTAGTGTTGCCCCAGCCGGCATGCCACCCTGAGGGAACACCCAACTGGGGGCTGGACAACAAGGCACCAGAAAGATATAGGGAGCACTTTCATCCACTGAAGCCTAAGGAGCACGGGAACCAGAACAGGCACTTAAGAAAGTCAGTCACCGAGAGCCTGAGAGAGTTGAAGTACAAAGGAGCAGTAAAGGCGAGAGCTCTGAGGGCAGACACTGGGTGACAAGAGCCACGTGACTCTGAAATCGAACAGGCTTTCTTTTCTTTTTTAAAATTTTTTATTAAATTTATTTATGTATTCACTTTACATCCCAATATCAGCCCCCCTTCTCCTCCCAGAACCCCTCATGCAGATCCTCCCCCCATTTCTCCCTCCCCTTCTTTGAGAAGGGGGAGCCCCATCTAGGTTTTGTCCTCCCCCAGTATCCCCTACTATCACCAGCACATCAAGTCACTGCAGGACTAGGCGCATCCTCACTCACTGAGGCCAGACAAGGCAGCCCAATTGGGTAACAGGATCCACAGGCAGGCGACAGATTCAAGGATATCCCTCACTCCTGTTGTTGGGGGACCCAAATGAAGACCAAGTTGCTTATCTACTACATTTGTACAGGGGTCTAGGTCCAGCCGGTGCTCGCCCTTTGGTTGGTGGTTAGTTGACTCTGTTGGCAGCCAGGGCTTCCTAAAGCTGATGACATGGATGGAACCCTGGGTCTACCATCTAGAACCCCAGCCTGTCTCTGCCTGGTTCCCATTGCTGCAGCACCCTGAGACTACATATAAAGAACTGAAGTTCACCTGAGCTTGTAATTCTAGAGACCAGAAGTGCCACGCTGGCCAGCTTCCCAGTGATAACTCCTTCATGAGAAAGACTCCTCACCATGAGTACTCCCCCTCAAGGCCCAGTGGAGTGGACTACTGCGTATGGTTACACCGTCTCTGGAAGTAATCCTAAGAACACTACAATGCTAAGTGCTACAACTGCCCTGGGTAGACTGATCTCTGGTCACTTACTCAGTCATAATTTTGCCATTAATTCCAAGAGTAAACTGGTCTCTGGACCAGCCATAAATTCCTATTCAATGTGTCCCTGCCTGGCCACTTACCTGCTATCTTTCTGCTTCTGTAAACAATGCTTGCTTGCTGCAGATGCCCACAGCTGCTTTTCTGTATATGTCACAATTGAAGGCTTGCTGTTAAAAACTCAAACAAATTGGAGGTCAAGGCTGCTTCCTGCTACTCTTCCTGAGACAGCTCAGTTGGCAGTAAATAAAGAATCTATATGTTTTATTCAGGCATCTTAGGAATTTTTGTCTTCAGACACCCTACCAGTGCCCCCTCAACACCATCTAATTGATGGCGAAACCTCAACATGAGTTCTGGTGAAAACCAGCCACATCCAAGCCACTGCTATATCTGTGTCTCCATTGGCCAAAAGGTGCTGAGAAAACTATGTATATCTCACAGCGACAAGACACACTCTGAGGGCAGGGAAGAGAGGATGTGTCATCTCATAAACACATCAGAGTCTTGTCCAGAACTATCTGGCCCCCCGGGGTCAGGGCCTCGTTCACCTTCACAGGTACTGCAGGGCTATCTGCATCCTCAGGTCAGTCTGCTGCAGTCCGGCTATAATCTGAACAGTTAGTTGAAGAGGCAAAGAACCTGTCCATGTAGCCAGAGTTCTGCTCCAGAGCTGCTATCCTGAAGGGGGAGAGGTCAATTGAGTATGACACAGACAGGAACAAAACAGACAGGAATGTTCGTGTCTTCCTACAGCCTCCAATAAATAATAAATCTGCAAGCTATGTCAGTTTTATTTGCAGTCATTTTCCAGATGAATCTAATCTCAATATCTCTCTCTCTCTCTCTCTCTCTCTCTCTCTCTCTCTCTCTCTCTCTCTCTCTCTCTCTCTGTGTGTGTGTGTGTGTGTGTGTGTGTGTGTAGTGTGTCTATAGCTCTCTCTGTCTTTCTCTCCCTCCCCCTTCCTTTCCTCCCTCCCTGTAGACAGGGTTCTCCCTGTTATAATCCTTGATAGCCTGGAATTACCTATATACACCAGGGTGGCCTCAAACTCACAAAGATCCACCTGCCTCTGTTTCCCAAGTTTGAATGTTGAAAGCACACCCGACTACAGAGACAAGCAAGGTCACAGGTTTGAGCTGAGTCTTGGCGTTAAGTCAAGCTGCAGAAGCAAGGTGCAAGACCATATCCAGACAGATGACTGGGACAATAAACAGAAGGTATTTCAAGTAGGTTCCATCAGCAGTGGGGGGTGAGCAGTGCTGAGCCCTGAGACAATTGGGGATTCTCTGACAGTTCCTCAGTGCTGAATGCTAAGATTACTGGCGGAGCTGTTGCTATCCCAGCGCTAGGCGCCGCCTTTTTATGGAGTCCGGATGAGACTATTTATTGTGCCCCGTCGTCAGTCTAGTGTGTTCAGTAAGTCCTCGGCCCAGTTTTCCTGATGATATTTTTACTATGTCCCTGTGTTCACATGGTCGGTTCCAGTCTGCTAAGTTTGCAGCGTGTCACCTTTGTACTTTAGAAATAAGTTATTTGATGCTGAGGCCTGGTGGTGCACCCCTTTAATCCTAGCGCTTGGGAGGCAGAAGCCAGTGGATCTCTGTGAGTTTGAAGCTAACATGGTCTACATATTGAGTTTTAGGCCAGCGAGGGCTATGCAGCCAGACCCTTTCTGAAAACAAAACAGAAACAAACAACAAAATCACCGGGCGGTGGTGGTGCACGCCTTTAATCCCAGCACTTGGGAGGCAGAGGCAAGCAGATTTCTGAGTTCGAGGCCAGCCTGGTCTACAGAGTGAGTTCCAGGACAGCCAGGACTACACAGAGAAACCCTGTCTCGAAAAAAAAAAAAAAAACAAGCCATCAAATAAAAGAAGATCAAATACTACTTTTGCTCAGTGCTTCACACTGATTTTAGCAGCTAGTCAGAGATAGCTCAAGAGAAAACAACTTTAGAATTTTATTTTGGTA